CCGAGTGAACAACGTGTGCAAATCCATCAAGGACCAATCAGAGAAGAGATTTCGTGAACAGAGATTGTTCTATGACGAAAATGTCATGAAGATGCGCCGAATATACCAAGGCGAGATCAAGAAAAGAGCCAAGAACATGTTCATGGAAGCCCTGAGCGGAGACATGTTCAGGACGGAATAGGGGGAATGCTGGCACGCAGACCAAGCATGTGCAAGCAACAGAACAGCAAATGTGGTCCATCGCTTGCGGCCCTGCAAAATGGACGCCATATGCCTAGGATATTTGATGATGTCCACGCCCTCAGAAGAACCAACTCTGATGGACAATGACTTTGGAAGTGCTTCAGATTCAACACTCCCTTTCACCGGTGTGAATGTGCATCCGCCAGCCATTTGATGCCGACACGCCAGGTTCTTCAGCATGAATTTCATGCACCGTGTTGGCGCCTTTCCTTTTGACGCAAACCGTCCCTACCTAGCTTTTGGGTGGGCTTCGTCACTATATATCACGAAAGGTAGCCTGGTAAGGATTACCTTGAGTTGCTTTGCGAAGCAAAGGGATTGGCTTGAGAGCTTGCTCGGGACTAAAGATTGGTAGATCAATGTTTAATACCCCCACCCCCCCCCCCCATGTGATGAATGATTTATAAAACAATTTTTTCCCCCCCCCCCCCCCCACTCCCCTCCCCGTCCCCTCCCCTCGTCGCCAGCACTACTAAATTCTGGACATAAGGTGAAGTCATGCGCTTAACAATCACAGCAATACGACGCTGGCCATGAGGTTGCACAATACAGCACGAACCCTGCGCAATGAGGTCGCACAATGCAGCTTCGATGCCGCGCGTGCGCACCCGGCAGCCTGACACAGTGCGTATTGCGTTCACAGACCATATTGCTCGACACCAACGAGCATCGATGGAACACAGCCTCTCTGCAAAGCCCTGTGGAGAAACCCCTCGCGTCGCGGAATACCATTCGACTCAGCCGCTCAGCCTTATACCCTAGCGTGGCGAAATCTTACCGCATCGTGGAGCACGCCCACCATAGCGTGACGTCCATCCCTGGCAGTACCGGCCGCGCCCCTCCAGACTATCCTTACAAGGGGGTTGGTCACTGAGTCACTGCGGCTTCGACGCAACGCGTGCAGGCCTATAATCCTGACACAGTGCGTGCAGCTGTGGGACCATAGCTGGTACACATGCGAACGTTTACGCATTGCGATTTTTACGCGCGCCTGCTTTCACATGCCTAGACACAAACGAGCGTCGACGCAATGCAGCCTCTCTGCAGAGCCGTGTGGCGCAATCTGACCGCAACGGTGTTCCTCTTGAGCCTTCTTATGCCTTCTTGTGCTCTCTGACTTTCATGATTTCATCCATAATTGACCAAGGGGCACGTTCCTGAAACACCGGAGACAATCCCTCACCAGAAAAGGTCCCGACAGCTACTCGGTCCGTCTCTACCTTTCGCATTTCCCCGCTCAAGTGATAAATCAATCAGCAGCCAATTACCACGGAACGGCACCAAGGTAACACACCCAGACAGGTGCTTCCCAGGCTGCCGTGCGAAGCGGCTCAAAAGGCCCAAGCGACAAGAGGTCTGCGCGCGCTGTGGCGCATACCGTCCATTGCCTCCAGCCGCGCGAAGCGGTGCAAGAGGATGCAACGAACCTTTCCAAAATCAAAATTTAATTGCACATCCAAGGGGGGGAATTCAAATCTGGAAAAGAGGTAAAACGTCCGGATGCGACCTCAGATTAGGAAGATAAATCGAAAAACGAAATATCGTCACAAGCCCAATTTCCGGGAGACACACTCCGTCCAGAAATCGGATGCTCAATTTCTTCCCATCTCTAAATCCATTAGGATATTTCAAAATCTGCAGATGCCGTTTGGTGGCGTCGATATAACACAACCTAGCCTAAAAATCACCATGGAATTTCCTTATATGATTAGGCCAATTAACATGCTATACAAGACGAATTGACGCCTTTATTTCATTCAATTGCTATATATTATCAATGAATATTAAGAAAATATTAAATTGTCCACGAGGAGGATTATCGATATAACCCAATTCCAAGAAAGAAATATACCTAATATGGAGTTTCAATTAAATATTAATATCAAAAATTTAACTATATTCAATAAAATATAATCGCTCAAATTTAATATATTGTCTATAATTCGGATGCTTAAACATCCATTTTAATAATAATATATCGCAAATACATCCAAATTGCAATTTATTGTATATTAATCTCCCAATCTCCTAATCATTTAACAACATAATTAGAACCCAAGAAAAAATATATAAATCTTATATTTTTTTTGGCCTTACACTATAATACATTAATTATTTATTTTATAAATTTAATATATATATATATATATTAATATATATATTCAAATCCTTTAATTTATTTTTAATTATTATCTATATATAAATACATATAATCAATATATCCAACTATATATATCATATATTTCAAATTATTATTCATCAATTTCGTATATATATATATATTAATCAACAAAATTTTATATTATAATATAACTTAAATAAAACTATTTTATAATGTATATTGTTTTTAAAAATTTATTATCTTTATAAAAAAATATTTATTTATAAAATTTAATATATTATATATTTAAAATAATATATATATATACGACATATAACCAATAAATATATAAATTCCGCGATAAATATATTTCCGCCCTAGGACAAAAAAGACCCAGAATTTCAGCCGGAAGATCTTCTAATAATATTTATATAAATATATCATGCAATATATATATTCTGAAATATGTTTTCATTGATTAAAACGAGGCCAATTTTGATCGAAACCCGTGCCGTAGATTCCCACAGCACGCGGAACGATCCAGACTGGGCGCAATTCAGCTTACGCAGCTTGTTTCTGGCGGGAAAAAGCAAGAACCCTATGGTCTTTTTTCAACTTGAGGGTTCAAAGGGTCTAAGACTTGGTAGGCTCTCCGATGAGGAAGACAATTGGGGCCTTCCCAAAGTCAAGCAAGCTGCAGGCAGGAGAGAGTCTCTCCGACAAAAATGAGACAGAAAAGCTCAAGGGACTCAAGGAAGGCATCGCACCAGCTGACGACCTGCCAATGGCCACATGCGACGGAGCTACAGCACCTGTTTCTGATTGCAAAAGGATTCATCTGGAAGATGTGTCGCAATATTACACCTTCGCAAGAAATATATAGAAATATTAAGAAATCAAAAACCATTTACCAGGACCTTCAAAGTGACCGAACTTGAGATCCCAGGACAGGCCTGTAAAAGGCCACTTAGAGACTCCAAAGAGGTCACTTTGAAGGTCCCAGTAAGTGGCTCTCATGTTTTGGTAGCCCAAACAGGAATGCTTCTGGTTAGCTGCCCCAGGTCCAGGTGATCCCGCAACATCATATACAGAAAGACCGGTTGCACTTCCAAAGATGCGTGGAAACATGCCTGGCCGAATTTTCCAGCGAGCGACTTCCACATGAGAGCAGGGGTCGATGGTTCCAATATGTTCCAATGGTTCCAATTCCACAAATGAACAGGCTCTACCTGTTCTTGTCTGCATGCGTCTACTGTAGCGTGCCAGCTTACCCCACTTGATCCCCTGGCCTCAACCCACCTGCCGTCCAACTTCCTTCAAACGGATGTGCGCCTTTGCGGAGGCGAACGCGAAGGTATGGCAGGTTGGAGGGAGGGAAGGTATGGCAGGGCATCTGAGAATGGAACATTTATATATTGGGATGCATCTCTGCCAGATTGTGCAGTGTTGAACGCAGGGAACCTTCCCTCTGCCTGGGACCAAAATAAAGAGAATACAGCAGGCAGCTGCTTCAAGTACACAAACATGGACGCATTCAATCAGGTGGCGCACCTGGGGGAGCCGTAATCGGGTGGAAACCAAAAGGAAGTGGGCACAGTAAGTTGACGTCATTGAGTCATATCGAGCACTCGAACAAACAGGACCTAAGGAAAAGCAAGGATCTTCATCAATGGCTAGTGGAGCTTGGCTCATTCACTTGTACACATGTGAAAACGCTTTTGTCTGAGCCAGGCTAGGCTATCTTGGCTCAGCTCTCAAAGCAAATACGGTCTTTTTTGTCACAGCTCTGTTGAACAACGTGAAGAGTCAACCGCACCTGGCTCGTCCCAACATGTGTTGAACTGTTAAGATAAGTCTGGGAGCCTCATTCATCTCGCTTTCCAGGGTCCTGCTGAACTGTTAAGATGAGTCTGGGAGCCTCATTCATCTTGCTTTCCAGGGTCCCACAGCCATCCTCTCAGGTCCCACTGCCATCTTCTCAGGCCCCTAACGGTCTTGCCCTTCTTTTCTGAGGATAACACCTGAAGACTTCACTTCGGCCGGCGCGGATGCGCAGTCCCATCGGTGGTCTGTCTTCGAAGCCGCGCGGTAAAAGAAGACCGCGGTATTGGAAGAAACACCTATCAGTACAAATCCATTGTATCGTGTGTCCATAAATGCAGCAAAAAGAACCTTTAGGTGCAAACCACGGTCATGCACCACTGGAGGGGTTGTACCATTGTACCTGTTTGGCAACCTTCACGCTACTGTATGCCCCTCATAGAATTATGGTCCAGGCAGCGGAAGTATTGGTGAAAAAGAAGCTGCTCAGGCCCGCAGAAGAAACACCCAACTTGTGCAAAGACGACCGACATATGTTGATCCTACTGACCTACTGGTAATGATGGTTAGGCTGCAGGCCTTGTTCAAAAATAGTGATTTGCTTGTTTACTGACTGTTACAGGCTTACTGGGCCATCATACCCAACACATATCAACACTTCCCTTGCACATGCATCTCCTCTCAGAAACCCGGCTTTCATAATGTTTTTTTGCCATGCCTTACAGGGGTGTGTGGCTGAGCAGGCAATTGGTGGGTTTCAAGACTTGTAAACTATCAGTACTTGTAAAACTGCCACAACTTAACCACACGAATCTAAAACCGTGTTTAAATGTGTTTAACACTCCACTCTGTCACCCGGTTTGCCAGGGTCATCTACCTTCAACATCTTTCAAAAAAGGTGGATTTCCCGTGAAGCCCCACACCGGTGACCGGTGGATCTCCGGTGACGCCTTCAACTGCGTGCCAGGCAGGAGAATACTTTCACTCTCATTGGCATAGAAGCTCAACTGCCAGCCGGGGGATGTAGCGGATGTCGCGCGTGCATGTGGGGTAACCGCCGGATAACCCCCCTAGGGAGATTTGGTGGGGCATCCTCATCCAAGAACCCTGGAGTCAGTCCTGATGCAGGATCCTTAGGATAATGGAAATCTGAGTCATAGTATCGTCATCATGTTGTATCTTTGCACCATATATTGTACAGTTCCCAATCACGCTTCTTTGGAGGTGTGGCCTCTTTTGGGAATGTTTATATAATAGACATGCAATTATATAACAACTTTAAACCCAGAGGATCGCGGCAATCGAGACACAACACACCAACCAGGAATGAGTCACTACTTGGAACGTTAAGTTTGGATGTCGTGGATCCAAATGAACTTCCTCATTTTCCTCCAAAACCACCTTGAGGTCCCGCCACCCGACCGCCGCCAGAGTTCTCTGAACAAAGATCGACTTACCAATGACTTGCCAATCAAAACATCGACTCACCAAGTTCTCTCAAAAACATCATTTTTTTTACCGAAATGAATCCCCACTCAAAGCACGCACTTCGAACCTAGCACTTCCAATGGGTGCCCTGTCTGGAGGCCTGATTCCTTCAGGTAGGGTAGTCTATTGGACACCCAGACAGGATGACCCTGGAAGGTGTCTTTTTTCGACTGACCAATCGACTTTGACCCATGATCTCCGATGCGTCAGGCACCTCGGAGATCTCGCAGGCGGTCTGCGTCTCGACGGTGAGCACCGTGGACCTGTGACTCGACGCGGTGGATGCAGTGATCTTCCAGGGGGTCGGTAGGGGGGTCGGTCTAAAGGGGTGTAGGTCTCATTCGAGGTTTTACGGGATCTTTGGGGACCTTTGGGGATCGTTTGGGGGGGGGTGTTACCCATGCTTGTATGCTTGTATCGCTTGTATACCGTATACCTTCATAACTATGCCTTAGCAGGGTTTAAAGCATATCTGACTTATGGCCTCTGTAATCCAAGCGGGTCAACGGACATATGAAGCGAACATATGAGTGAACGTGCGCGCGTGTCAGCGCGCGTGTCAGCGCGCGTGTCAGCGCGCGTGTGAACGCGCGTGCGTGCAGGCCAGTGAACGCACGAACGATCGTGGACGGGCGTGTCAGTGTACGTATGAATGCGCTGGCCCACACACCCACAAGCATGAACCAGCACTCTGAGAATTTGTTTTCCTTTCGGACAGGGCTGCTGTCGCAAGGCACGTGTATTCACACATGACACCAGCAGAATTCATCTTCTGTACTCGTGAGGCCTCTGAGCCACGCCCTCTGTGCAGGCATGAAAAAACTCTTAGGGCCGTGAAGGAAGGTCCTCTGTGAGAGACTGGACCATTTTTCTAATATCCTCTGCTTCAGACATCTCTGACTCGCTGCTGTATCGCAGGCTGCACATCACCGCCAGCACCACTGCAACAATCACGTTTCCCGCAAACCTTGGATGATTCCTGCAAACCTTTTAAAGACACAAACATTTGAAACTCATTCGTGGCATAGAAAAGTATAAATAGATCCACAACTATGACGCTGACATGCAGGAATCTTGTCTTACTTGCAGACCACACCATACATCCATTAATGTTTTGACAAAGTTGCGCGTTGCCAGCCAAATTCCCAAGCTGGGATTCCGTGAAGCTGGACAGAAAGTCATGATCATATGAATGTCCCTGGCATCTCAACAGCTCCCTTCCCAAGAGTGGCCTTTGCTTTGCAAAGGACCAGGCTATGCTCCTTGGAAGGATCACCGGCAATGAACGGGTTCCTGTTGAGTAACGGTTTGCGGAGTGGTACACATCCGCAACGGACACCTTCTTCTTCATTCTGTACTTGTCATCGGCAGCAAATCCCACCACCTGAAGAATCAGAATCATAATTCATAATCATAATTTCATAGATGAATCATAGACTGGACTCATTTCTAGACAATGACAATAGATTCATCGTAGAGTCATAGCCTAGCAAATGTGATGCGTATGTAACTGCTGTCGTTGTATGTCACTGTATGTATTTGTAGACTGTACGACTACATGAAAATGCATATTGCATACCGCTGCATACCCTTCTTCATTGAGTATTGAACCTCCCGAGCCCTCTTCGTCAAGAGCGGGAACCATTTGGATGCTTGCACTGCCTTTGGAATTTGGAGCGGCCATGGGATGCCTCCTGCAGCAAAGTAAGCCCAGGAATCCCAGACAAGTGTTTGGGTCCAACATGATGATGAACACAATTGGATCACAAAAAAACATACAATGATATGATATGAATCGGAATATGAATCATATCATATCATATGAATTCAGTTCAAAGAATCTTTTCTCTGCAACCGACATATGCAAAGATGTCCATCCACCGTCAGAGTCCGCTACGTCGTCTCTGTCGGAGAGAAACTCAAAGTGTTCTGCTAAGGCTGGGTCATCATCTGGCAACAGAAAGTTCTCCTCAGCAACAGTCGACATACTAACTGACTCTAAAAAAAAACTGAAGTTGGTCTTCATTGTCGGAGGTTGGGAAGGTTGAAAGGAGGGCCCAAGAGCCTAGACTATCAAAATGAGTCGAGAAACAAAAGCTGGTGCTTCCAAGTACATCTGGCGAATCAGCGTTTTCACATCTTCAAAGAAGCTTGCCGCACTCACAGCGATGTCTTGGTTTCGCAAATCCAAGCAAACAAAGTAGACACGCCGGCGGCTCTGGGGCAACCCGAACCACTCTGCATCTAGCAAAATACACTCCACAGCGTATCCGCGCTTCTCAATCTCATCGATACAAAGCTTCAGGTTGGACTCCCTCAAGGTGACAACAAGAGTTACATTTTGCAAGAAAGGCCGCGCAAACAACACATGACGCTGTGTGACTCCTCTCACTCTCTATCACGGTAAGAATTCTGGTGAGTCGGTCACATCCTAAATACAGACAGAGCACGAGGAGTCATCGGTTTCCCTCTCGATCGACTCCAAGCACCCGTTGAAGGTGCTTACGCTGGCCACTGTTTCCTTGGGCAAAACGACGGCCACTTAGTTCATGAACCTCATTTGTTGCCTCACCTTTTTTGCGCCTATAGCCTATTGCCTATAGCCTTTGGCATCTATTAAAAAATATATTAATTGTCAATTGACGGCTATTGGTTTGTCTTCTGAAAGTGCGGAAAAGAAACTGATTCCTCATTCTGATTCTGCTGTTCTTTTGCACGCTGCATTGCGCTAGCATTCTTTTTGGAGTGCATGTTTAGTCGGCTGTAGCTTGTGCACGAGAAACCCGCAGAAAAGGCATGGACCCGTTCAAGGTGACATGCTCGACCGTGTGTCACACAGTGCCTCTTCTCGTCAGATGACAGGGCTGTAATGTCCTGCCATGTTAATTTTAAAAACCAGACACTGAGGAAGTACAGCCACAGGTTCTGTCCTCAAACATGCAGCTGCTGGCATTCAAAGCATGCTTGCAGAAAGCCTGCTTCCACTCCACGTTCTCACAGGCATACGCCGCTTCGACCTAAGGTAAAGCTGAAAATGTTTTTGCTATCTTTTGCTAAGTCAAGATTCTAGAATCGATTCATTCATATAAGTAGTGGTATATAATTAAAACTATTATATAACAATATACAAAACATTTTATAACACAACATCAATTCAATCGTCGTTCTCATTTTCACTTTGTCCGCTGTACCAAGTCAGGCTGCTGTCATGTCGAGATTGAAGGCCGGCTTGAGACCTTGCACTGCACAGCGCATCGCATCCTCAAACCTGACCAAATAGAAAATGAAAATGTTTCCACATTCAATATTCAGAATCATCAGGTCTCTATGACTAAGACTATGACTCTGACTCTATGACTCTAGTCTATGAGTCTATGACTCTATGACTCTGGAATGGTTCATTGATGAGTTGATGAATAAAAACTCAAAACACAAAAAGTAGAAGACAAGTGGCGAAGCAGTGCCAGAACACCCTGAACCGGTGAGTAGCTCTGTGGGGTGGCTCTTCAGGTTCTCATAGATATTCAAATGACCATCAGTGTTCTTGGAATGGAACAGCAAGAGACGGGATACCATAACCTCCAAACAAACGACAACAGCAACAAATTTGAGTGTTTGCGCAGTGCATCTGAATCTTAAGTCTTAGGACAACAGCAACCTCTGTTAAGCTTAGTCGTTTGTTTTGTTTTCGTTCTTTTTGTTAGCCTTGGTTTTGGTTTTGGACACCGACACTGATACCGCCCGACACCTCAGCAGCTGATCCCATCACGTCTTCTGGATCTGGATAAGCGTCGACGGCCCTCCGGACCAATTCTTCAGCCTCTGCTACTGGAATGCGAGCATCATAAACATCACCAGGTTCAGAAATCTCATCAACCTGGCCATCATCAGCACCAACGCCCATACCTCACCAAGCAGTGAACGAGCAGAAAGAAGCAAAAGGGCAAGTCAAAAGGGCAAGTCAATGTGTTTGGAACAGCATCATGTTGCATGCCAGGCTGCTGGCACATGCCGCTTCTTTCTGATCAAGCCTCTTTGTCACTGTCTCAGTATTGATCTTGGAATGTGGGGATTTCTGGAACCAGCGAAGAAAGTGCACCAGGTCCTCTACCGGGTCGCCTTCTGGATCTCCGTAGCTGTAATCATCATCCACAAACTCTTCTGCTTTCAGAAAGTGAAAATACTCAGCAGAATGCTCAAATTTTTCACTCTGGATATCTCATCTTCCAAGCAGTAGGGGCAATTCTCATCATTCATCAACGAGTTTGCAATGAACTCCGGGTCGCAATTGGACCACCATTCCATAGCCGCCTGTTTTGATTCTTCTACTTCCACTTGTTCCTGTTTGCCCTCACCTGCTGTCTCCTCTGGCGCCATCTTTCCAAAATACTTGTTGAAGTGTTCTTCACCAGCTACTCCTGCCTTCATGTAGGCCTTGACTGTGTCCCGGAGGTAAATCACGAAGCTCTCAAGGTTGGAAACCTGATGAGCACTGCTTGATGCAAAACGTGGCTGGTGAGGTTTCTCCAGTAACTGGGAAGACCAAAACTCCCTGAACAACGGATGCCCTTGGGCTGCACTGAGCGCACTGATAAAATCCTCCTCAGAAAGCAAATCAAGTTCTGCAGTACTCAGCCCATAGTGCCAGCCGGCTAGAATGGCCGGCCATGCCTCAGCCAGATCAATTGGCGGTTGGCCCTTCTGTATCAGGAAGGTGTTGAACTTCTTGAAATCATTGTGTGGCCAGCTTCCGAATGTCCATCCTGACTGGATGTATCTTGGCTCTTCAATGTTGGTGTAGACATCCTCAATGAACTCGTTGAACATGGGATGGCTGCGTACACGTAGAAGAAGATCCGGAAAAACATAGTCGTCAGTTGAGTCATAGTCAAACATGGCGGCCTCATATTGCCGAAGGAGTTTGCTGATATCAAGCAGCGGTGCCTCTGCGTTTTTGAGGTAGCTGTTGAAGTGTCTGATGTTTCTCACAGTATCCACTTGCTTTCCATCTCCGGGGTGTGTCCAATCGAAGTGAATGAACGGTTTGTGTTTCTGACAAAATTTCAAGTATGCTGGAAACAGGTGGTGTTGTTTCACAGCTGCCACACATTTTGCCTCATCCTCCAAGAACACTTCAACAAACTCAAAATCTGTTTTTGCTGATGCTGCTGATATTGATGTTGCTTTGTGCTTGTTTGCTGTTTCCAGCGAAGCTGTGCTGCGGGTGTTGCACATCTTGTCCAGTGTTGCTGCTGGATGTGTT